TTTAAGCTAGAAGTGAAAGACTTCATAATACTAAGTAATTAATTAACTTTTGGCCTATGTTGAATATCCCTTTATTTGTGTGATCCTTCTACACTCTATGTGCTAGGGAAATTTGGCCTTTCCAGAGAAAGGAAGGTGTTTTTGTTATTATAGTGGGTTTGTGTCTTTTTTTTTTTTTTTTTTTTTTTAGGGGCATGCATTAGGGTAGTGAAGCATAGGGTTTCTATCTCAGGACTGCAGTTGATTTATCAAAACTGTTCAGGTTTCACAAACATTTAAAAAAAAAAAACCCAATGTATAACAGATAAAATGAGTGTTATATCAATATAAGTAGTATAGTTCCTATGTGGGTATACATAAATACATACGTTAATACTAATAACTAATACATATAAAATAGATTATTGTTATTTGATGTTTTCAATAAGACCTACCTTTTATGCATGTTAAGAAATCTGTTCTGAATTTACATAGTAATAGAAATGATAAAATAACTTTGTTTCTGAAATTAGTAAGTAAAAGTAATACAAATGTAGATGCTGCAAATTAGAAAATAGTAGGTTTTTGATAAAGCTAATATAAAATTTAATTTTTATTCTGTTCCTATAAAGCATAGCAGTTATTTAATGCAAGTTTTAAATTTCATCTTGAATTTATCTATATTTAGAGATATATCAGATAATTGTTTAGAGAGTTATTTCTGCACATATGGTTGTCGTAAATATAATTTTTACCACTGAAACTAGGCATGGTGCTTTTGAAAATTTGCTGCATATGCTTTATTTGAGTTTAGTGTAATTTAGTACACTGTTTTAAAACACTCGAAGAATTCATAAAGGAAGTGCATAGCCAATTTAGTTCTAAATATATCCACATGTGAATTATTTAAGAAAGTTTTTCCTTTTGGGGGGGCAAGAGGGTGAGGAAGAATGTGTGGAATCCTTATTGAAATTAATTGTTAGAATTCACTAATTAAATATGGCAGATCAGACTTATTTTAGAGTAATTTTTTTAGGTTATGGGGATTTTCTTTTTAGTGTCTAAGATTATTTTGGTGTTCTTGGTTTTATGCTAGCTACTAGGCAATTGTTTATAGGCAAGGCATTTTAGACATCAACTTCCTCTCTTCAGATAAGTATGCATAAATTAGTTGTAAGAGTTAATTTAAGTATTCTGGGATTAGGGAACAGTTTTTGTCGGTTACTCCAAAATTTTTTTAGCAATCTCCCAAGGCATATTATTTAGAACTGAATTCTTTTAGGCACATCTATGAGGTTGGTGAGATGCCTTATTAACTGGATGGATGTAGTCTTTTTAATTGAAGCTGCTTACAAGAAGTAGGATTTTGTTTTCTTCTATTTGAAATTGAATGGAATCTGTTGGAGGGTTATCCAAATTGTTTGCATCACAAGAAGGTAGTTTCAGTAACAGGATAGGGGCACTCATTAAGGAACAAATTTCAATTCGCACATATTTGTTTTTTCTTTTTCTTTTTTTTGACTAATTTGGTTATTTGCCATTTCTGGGGATTAAACTTTAAAAAATGTTCTTCTTTTCTGTATCTGATGTTCTGTGTGCTATTAGTGATGCAGCCAACACGAACGGTTGTCATGTGTAACACAACTTTCGATCACCGCGAAAACACCGTCCTGGGAAAGCGTCCATGCTTGATATCGTTTGGTTCATGAACATTAAGTTTCCAGTACAGGTGACCCATAGCTCAAAGTGTTAAATAATTGTCTACATTATTCAATTTTTAAAATAATGTTCCATTAATGAGATTGTTAATCTTTGAAGTTTTGCTCACTTTTATTTTTCCTAATAGAGCAGGATAAAAGGAAAGACTTAAGTTCTTATTTATTTCTTTATACCAATCTGATAGATAGATTCATTTATTATTATTATTTTTTAAGTGCAAGGGTTATTTGTAAAATCATAGTGTAAAGTTTGTGTGGTGCTTCTGCTTTCTGTAATGTTTGAAACTTGCCTCTGCAGGTAAAATCCCGGAGGAATCTAAAGCCCTTTCTTTATTGGCTCCTGCTCCAACCATGACAAGTCTGATGCCTGGTGCAGGATTGCTTCCCATACCAACGCCAAATCCCTTGACTACAGTAAGTACTATATGCTCTTTTATGAAAAGGGTAAGGTTCAGCTATGTAATCAGTTGAATAAAGAGCTTAGAAAATTATTTTCATTTCAGAAAAAAATCTGTTATTTTTTTTTTAAGTGGAGAGAATTCACAGTTACTACTTAAATTCTTTTTCCACATTATCTCTAACTTGAACTGACTTTTGGAATTACTCCTGAAGTGATTTAATGATTAACTGAATTGAGAATAGAAATACAGTAGAACCTCTATAAATTGACCACTCTAGAGACTGTAGCAAGCTGGGTAAGCTGGTCAATATAGGGAACTAGGCCTGCTGTACTGATATGTAATCGTGGTGCATGTCCAGTCTGTGAAAATTAGGTCAACTTAAGGAGGTGGTCAGCTATGGAGATTCTACTGTAGATTATTCATTAGAAAATAAGGTATTGAAAAAGTATTTTAGATAGCATGAGGAACTGGGAGGAAATACGGTTCATGAGGACTACCATTTTAAAATGAAATGCCCTATGACCTTGGTAATGGGAAAAAATATCTGAGAAGCATTTGTTTGATATCGAGAAAAGGCTACCAGGCAAGAACATGGCTAAAATATTTTCCCATTAACTATGCAGAATTAAATAGTAATTTAATGCTCCTTTGTGATTTCCAAATGAGATAATAAAAAGAATATTACTGTTATTGGGCTCATGATTTTTCTATAAAAAATTCTAGTCATATTCATTTTAAAAGAAGGGCCATTTTTCTTCAAAAACAAACCCAAAACAAATTACAAAGCTCAGATCAATTGGAAGTTGAATTTAGCTTTGTGGGGTTGGATAGGAGGTAAACTTAATATGTAAGCTTTGTGATTGTTAATTGAAACTTTTAAGTGCAGAATTTTAGATTTTTATGTAGGGTTTTTTATACCATGGGAAGGAGCTGTAATTTATTCTAAAGGTAATTAGAAGCCATAGTTTAGTTTCGGGCCAGGGTAGGGGATTATTTGACATTTTGAAAAGATCAGATTGGCTGTTGAGACAACAATAAGTGATATTGTCGCTGCCGCTGGCCCCAGCAGGCAACCCCTAGTGGCAATGGGGCTGGGACTGGTTAATTTTTTCAACTACTAACAGAATAAATCTAAAAAAAATTAAATAAATAAAAGTGACATTGGTTTTATAAACTTTAGTTTTCACCTTTAGGAAGTGCTATTACTTAACATTTACTAAATCTTTGTAGTTTTGCAACATATTTGCATGTATAATCATCAGTGGTCAAAATTTTCTTGAATAGCATAAACAGACATGAAAAAAGTGGTGTTTTTTTTTTTTCCTTAAAGTGTTTACATCTGGAAAGTTTTCCCATTTTCTTTTTTTTTTTCAAGACAAAAGTCTCACTTTGTTGCCCTTGGTAGAGTGCTGTGTTGTTATAGCTCACAGCAACTTAAAACTCTTGGGCTCAAGTAATCCTCTTTCGCAGTTTCTCTTTTGTTTCTTTCTTTGTTTTTTCTTTAGTAGAATGGGGTCTTGCTCTTGCTCAGGCTGGTCTCAAACTCATGAGCTGAAAGGATGTACCAACCTCAGCTTCCCAGAGTGCTAGGTTTCTTTTTTTGAGACAGAGCCTCAAGCTCTATTGCCTTAGGTAGAGTGCTCTGGCATCACAGCTCACAGCAACCTCCAACTCCTGGGCTTAGGCGATTCTCTTGCCTCAGCCTCCTGAGTAGCTGCGCCTATAGGCACCCACCACAACACCTGGCTGTTTTTTGTTTGTAGTTGTCATTGTTTGGCAGGCCCAGGCTGGATTTGAACCTGCCAGCTCTGGTGTATGTGGCTGGCGCCTTAGCCGTTTGAGCTACAGGCACTGAGCCACATTTTCAAATTCTGATATCTTATCTCGTCTGGTTTAAGTGGACATTAAAATTAATATTATTCTTTATATTTGAACTACAAACTGAATGTAGTAATAATGTTATGGAAAGCTTATTCAAAGGTTTTTGTCTTTTTTATACCATAGTATAAGTAAGGGCCTTAACATTTAAGATTTATTTTCTTAGGTAAACTTGTTCTTTTTTGTTTTGTGAATGATGGTACCCTGCTTTTACCACTGGATAGTGTTAGGCACATCATTTAATTTTTTAAAGTATTTTTCTTTATCTGTGAAAGTGGCATAAAAATAATGTTTCAAGGTTGATATGATAATTAAGAACTTAGTGAAATTAGATGAAATAATAATTGTTGGCTATTTGGAACTCACACAGTCTGTTTAAGAATGAGCAACTTTTGGGCCTCATTATTTGTGAATTCTGCGTTTATGACTAGGTGAAGTTTTTTGGAACTTTCCACCTCAACCCTTTAAAGTGCTTTTGTGGTCGTTTGTGGACATAGCGATAAAAATTTGAGTTGCTAGATGTGCACTTTTTCAGGTGATGTAAAATTCTCCTTATTTTGGCACTCATGGTGTAAACAAGTGTATTTTCTGCAGTTTTAGTGCCTTTTTTTTTTTTTTTTTGAATTTTTGTGCTTTTTGTTGGTGATTTTACTCCCAAGTGTAATGCTAAAGTTCTATGAGATGTTCCTCAGGAAGGCTGTGATGTGCCTCATTGACAAAATACAGGTGTGTTAGCTAAGCTTCATTCAGGTATGACTTACAGTGCGGCTGGTTGTGAGTTCAATGTTAATGAATCAAGAGAAAAACTTAATTGTAGTTGGGGGAGGGGTAAGGGAGAGGGAAGAAGAGAGGATGAGGGAGAGGGCAGAAGAGGAGGGGTCTGGTGTGCTCCCACTTAATGGACATAACGTCAAGGTATAAGGCATATGTCTTGGGTGCTGGACACAAATATAATAGGGACTTTACCCAACAAATGCAAAACTTTGTAATCTAATCATTTGCACCCTCATATTAATCTGAAATTTAAAAGAAGTGTAAATGAATCAACAGTATATAATAACTAACGTGTCTTTAAACAGAAACACATATAAAATAAGGTTATGTATTTATTGGTTGATGAACGTGTGACCAGAGGCTGGCAGGAACTTCACTATGTGTTTTCCTTAGGAACAGTGGTTCAGCATTCAGTAATCCATTGTTTCTAGAAATGTTACAGAACATAGCTACCTCAAATAATAAGAATTGACTGTTTTTAATGTCAAGATAAAAGAATAGCTAAAATACTCTGTTAAAAAGTGTATTTCCAGCCAGGCGTGGTGACTGTCACCTGTAATCCTAGCATTCTGAGAGGCTGAGGCAGGTGAATTGCTCTAGCTAAGGAGATTGAAATCAGCCTGAGCAAGAGTGAGACCATCTGTACAAAAAAAATAGAAAACAAACAAAAAACTAGCTGGGCATTGTGGTGTACTCCTATAGTCACAGCTGTTCTGGAAGGGTAAGGCAAGAGGATTGCTTGAGCCCAAGAGTTTGATTGCTATGAGCTGTGACACCACAGCACTCTACCCAGGTTATGAAATAAGACTCTTGTCTCAAAAAAAAAAAAAAAGGAAAGAAATATATTTCTAATTACATTTAAAACTAATGTAACCTCTCTTAATTTGGAAATAACCTTGGTTTAAAGGTAGGGGTCCCTAGTCTCCTTCCATTCTTACTGAGTTGACCCATTATTTTCAAGTTTAGAGAATGGTAATTTTGAATAACAGTAGAAAATATATGCTCTGTGTTTTTTTTCTTTTAATAGCTTGGTGTTTCACTTAGCAGTTTGGGAGCTATACCAGCAGCAGCATTAGACCCCAACATTACAACACTTGGGGAGATACCACAGCCACCACTTATGGGAAATGTGGATCCTTCCAAGATTGATGAAATTAGGAGAACAGTCTATGTTGGAAATTTGAATTCCCAGGTAACTAATTTAAGAAGAGATTCAGTGGCAGAAACTCTTTTGCTTTTCATAAAAATCTTATCAATTGATAAAGTAATATTTACGTAATTTTTTTGAAGGAATACTATTAGGTCTCACTTTGAACAAATACTAAAGTCTCACTTTGTTTCCTCAGACAACAACAGCTGATCAACTACTTGAATTTTTTAAACAAGTTGGGGAAGTGAAGTTTGTGCGGATGGCAGGTGATGAGACTCAGCCAACTCGGTTTGCTTTTGTGGAATTTGCAGACCAAAATTCTGTCCCAAGGGCCCTTGCTTTTAATGGAGTTATGTTTGGAGACAGGCCACTGAAGTAAGAAATCCTAAACAAAGAAATTTAAATGATTTTTAAAATGTGAAGTATTTTTATGTAATTAAGGCTTTTTTCTTTTTGATAGTAATTGGCACTTTATAGAAAGGAAGACTATGTTAAATACAAATGAAATACATGAGATACTTAATCATTTTAGCCTTTAAATTCCTATATCTAAAGACATTTATCTTCATCATTTTCTATTTTACAAGGTCTAATAATGTTAACATTTTTATATATAATGATTGTAGGTCTTTTTCCAAATGTTTTGACAAATCAGGTTGGTTTTGCATTATGACTCTAAACTAATGGACGGTTTAACAAGTGAATTGAGCTACAGTACTACCAGTAATAAGAACTTTGGTAAATCCAGAATCTCAGGAAGAAAACAAAATATTAAGTTCCCCAAAATGTTGTAAACCAAACATTTCAACTTCTAAGATTTGCTCATGTCTTTGTTTGCAAAAAATCAATGTAGCTTTTCAGATACAAAAATTCTATTTCATAAAGATTATTGCAGCAAATGTAGTTTTATCTGAATTTCTTAGATAATTGCCTTAATCACACAGTTTGATCAGGATTTTGCTATTAAAGGATATATAACTTCTTAGTGGGTATTTGTCTTCTCAGTGTGGAAGGGGCAAAGCAGGACACAGCAAATTTATTTGTATGCATCAGAGAAGCCACTCTTCATCTAGTACAGGAAGAGTTTTATCTGATACTGCCAACATTCCAGTCCTTGTGTCTGACTCAGCTGTGATTCAGGGTTGATTAAAAGGGTACACATAATACATGGCTTTCCTTTCATCTTCCCAGGGTGCACAAGTTATCAATATAATTTTATGATTGAGAAATGGAAATGATTTGTTTTAATATTAGTATCAACATTTTAATTTATTATGATTATAAGCTATGTGGAAAAGCACTTCCTCTGGTCTATTTGAGTTTTTAAAGAAGTCAGCCAGGGTTCAATTTTTTTCCCCACTTTGGCTTTGTTAGTAAAAAATGAGAAGAATAGAGATAAAAGATTAATCATGGTTTTGAAGTTGTTTTTGGTTATTCTGTATGTAGTTATATCCTTTTTAATGTGCTTTTGAGACGTCCTCAGATTTATAAATATGTGTTTCATGTAAACATGTAATTGTTTCATGTTTTATAAAATGTGGTGTGTTATTTGTGATTGGCTAATATTTTTAATTTAGAATAAATCACTCCAACAATGCAATAGTAAAACCCCCTGAGATGACACCTCAGGCTGCAGCTAAGGAATTAGAAGAAGTAATGAAGCGAGTACGAGAGGCTCAGTCATTTATCTCAGCAGCTATTGAACCAGGTAAGGCCATGTAGCATTGTTACATAGGTCATAGCTTAGAGATTATAGACTCTAAAGAACTGAAAGGAATTTTAGAAATTATCTCATTCAGTCCCTTCGTTTTACAAATAAGAAGACTGACACTCAAGAAATAGTAAGTGAAGCATATTCATGTCAAAGAGCAACTTAGTACAAATCCTGTCTTTTTCCATTAGCCTGAGGAATTCAGCTCCTTATATTTTAGTATGTTACTGTGAGGCCGAAAAGAAAAGAGTAAATACATTTAAAATGTTAGGATTCATCAGGTTTACTTTCCTTCAAAGTTTTAACTTTAAAAATAGGAAAGAGAACCCATGGTTTAGGGGAAAAGAACCCACAGATACTGTTTTAGCGAGGTAAAGAAACACCTATTCCAATTTTTATGTTGCTAACTAAAATAATTTAAATATCCAGTGTAAAATCATCTAGGTGGTTTATATTGAGCAGATTTCCTGAATTAACACTCAGAATTTAAGCTTCATTTCTAGCAGAATAAATGGAAAAAGGACTGAAAATCACTATCATAGGAATTGCAGACATGTTATAATCGTACGTTATGGCAGCAACAAATTATTACGAACAGCTGTTTATAATCATCTGGTTTATATGTACTGCTGCAGGGTGGCTGCACTCAACGAGTTTATGCAATGACTTTCTTGGATGTTTCTGAAGGATAATTGCACAGGAGGAGGATGTACAGAGAGTAGGCCCCTTGCACTATATGTGGTACATTCCACTTGTGCCTGATTATTAATTGGGATCTTTAATTGTTCTGAGCTTACACTGCAAAGTGGTTTTTTCCTCCCAGAGTCTGGAAAGAGCAATGAAAGAAAAGGCGGTCGATCTCGTTCCCACTCTCGCTCAAAATCCAGGTCTAGCTCAAAATCCCATTCTAGAAGGAAAAGATCACAGTCAAAACACAGGTGAGAATTTTTGCTATCATATTTAATAGTTTTTTTTAAGCTTAGTATTTAAAATAGTTAAGATTTGATGAGTCTTTATCAAAATACCAGAATTTGGAAATTTCAGTAGCATTTATCTAATTATAATACTGTAGCTTAAAGAATGAAATATTTAATTTTTAATATTTCAACTAATTTTTAGATTTAGAAGTTTGTTTTCTTTTTAAAGATACTTTATTTCTGATTTTTCTAAGAGTAAACTATTCTTTATATAGAAGTTATAGAAACTTTTTGTTCATCATCTATGGTTATTATTCAAGTAGGAGGGGTTTTTTTGTTTCCTTTCTTTATCCATTCTAGGTCTGGGGGTCACCACCTTAGATCTTGATTTCAAGCAGTTCCCTATCTCCAGGACCATGTGTCTAGTGGAGAACATTGAGTCCTTGGTACTTCGGGTGATAAGGGTCTCCTCTGCCCACTTTTGGACCTGAAACACAGGAGTAACTTTCATTTTTAGCTTCAGCTGTTGTACTTTTCCTATTTCTTTCTTTCTTTCTTTTTTTTTTTTTTGAAATAGAGTCTCACTATTTTGCCCTTGGTAGAGTGCTGTGGCATGACAGCTCAGACTCTTGGGCTTAAGTGATTCTCTTGCCTCAGCCTCCCAAGTAGCTGGGACTACAGGCGCCCGCCGCAGTGCCGGGCTATTTTTTTGTTGCAGTTGTCAGTGTTGTTTAGCTGGCCTGGGCTGGGTTTGAACCCACCACCCTCGGTGCATGTGGCTGGCACCCTAACCACTGTGTATGAGCGCCAAGCCCCCATGTTCTATTTCTGTTCTATTTATCTTACTGTTGAACATAGCTTTGTCATTTTGAATTTCTTTATCTTTTCTTTTTGCTGCAAAGGGGACTTCAAAATATAAACTTGCAACCCCCATCTCCATTGGCAGTACCCTTTAGATCATGACTAAATTAAAAATTTTGTCTTTAAGCACTATTTTTGAAATTTGAAAAGTAAATATAGTAGATCTTAATTGCATATTATGTGTACACATGTACTCGTATCTTGAGAAAGGAGGGAAGGGAAAGTGTGTGTGTGTTAGAGAAGGAGGAATATGTCAGGAAAAGAAAAAAGGAACCAAGATGCTATATGTTAAGACTCACTAGTAAGCTCAGTTTAGTTTGTTTTTCTGTGATGATCAAGGAAATTCAAAGAATGGAATAGGAAAATAGGATGTTCTTTCTTTGATTTCTAGTAAACTGTAATTCTGGCTGTACTGGTGTATATTGTCTTAATTATTCTTAGTTTGTAAAATCTACTTTGGAATATAATTTCACTAACTCTTGTCTAAGGTCTTTTTTTTTTTTTTTTTTTTTTGAGATAGAGTCTCACTTTGTTGCCCTTGGTAGAGTGCTGTGGTGTCATAGCTCACAGCAACGTCAAACTCTTGGGCTTAAGAGATTCTCTCGTCTCAGCCTCCCAAGTAGCTGGGACTATAGGCGCCTGCCACTTTTTAGAGAAGGGCTCTTGATCTGGCTCAGGCTGATCTTGAACTCATGAGCTCAGGCTGTCCACCTGCCTGGGCCTTCCAGAGTGCTAGGATTACAGGAGTGATCCATGCTGCCTGACTATATCCAGGATCTTACAGTTAGGCATGTTCAGAACCAAGTGAAGGAAGTTGTTTGATGTACAAAGAACAAGGTAGTGCAGCAGAAGCCAGACTTGAGACAGGGAAAGTACAACAGAAGCAGCTGGACTATGGATATTTTCCTATATTGACAGGAGATGAAGGAAATAGAAAACCAGGCAGAAAAAAAAATCAGTGATCTGAATCTTATTTGTGTGTTGAGTTTAAGAGCACTGAGTTCCAAGGGAAAAATCAAAACTTGATGATTGATGATGTCAATTGTTTCCTTGGTAATCTGCATGAAGCATTATATGCTTTTTGAAATTATGGCAAGTAGTTTAGCTATATACTTCAAGGTTTTTGTTTGTATTTTCAGTATATTTGGCTATTTTCTCCCTCCCAAGGGTGAGAGAGGGTAGGGCTATTTAGTCTAAATTAAAATTTGTTGATCTCATTCATGGGAGTATATTCTAGTAGATCTATGTAGCATTAGAAATTATTAACTCTTAACATATATATATGTATTTTTTTGTCAGCATATTCTCTTTTTATACGTGTGTGGAAACTTTGACTAAGTGCTCAAACAAATATAAAAGAGGATGAGTTCTCTTTAAAGGCAAAAAAAAAAATCCCTTACCTAAAAGCATTTGGTTTAAGGATCTTGACTTGGAAGGATTCTAATCCCCCACCTCCCAGTTTCCCAGGAGTCTGGGAGGGAATGACAGGCCTTTCTTGGCTTTTCTTCCCATGGCAGTTCGAGTTGATGCCTTCTAGTCTTGCTCTGACTTAGTAGACTTAGCAAGAGTGTGGGTTGCAGATGCCTTTATTTTAAAAATCCACCATCTTCATATGCCTCCAGATCTGTACTCTTACCTTCTAAACACCACCCCTCCCCCAAACACTTGCTTGTTCCTTCTCATTCTTAGAATAAGAAGAAAGGGTTTGTTATTGTGACCTTACCTAGGATTGGGGAGATATATTACCATTTTGTCCAAATTTTGATAAATTTTGTTCATAGAAACACTGTTTCTATGAATAACACAAGCATTAAAAGTTGTATAGTGCTGTAATTGTTGTATTTTTAAGTTAAGTAACTTACAGACCAACATAGAAAGTAATAGACATTTTACAATGATTTAATGGAAAACAACTGATTTACAAATGAACTTTGCAGCATAATGGTAAGTTACCATTTATTTACAGTTTAATTTACAAATACGATTCTGCATTATTCAAAATAATGGGAATATAATTTATCATTTAAAAATGGGAACTGCTGATAATAGCATACATTTTTATCATTGGTTGGAATTAGATCTTTTTTGACTACTTTTAGCATTCTTAATTGGAAAACTAGTGTAGTGGATAAGATAGAAACATGAAAATGTTTAATGTCAAAATTAAAATGTAATATTACCCATGAACAGTGATTTTTGAAATCTCTGGTTCGTGATAAGTGTTTTTTAATTTAATTTTTTTTATTATTATTAATGTTTATTCGGGCTATATTTGATTTCTTAAAAGATGTTTCTTTGGTTAATTAGGATAGAAAGCGCTGCTTTGATGAAAACAAAATAATTATATTTTTAGCAAAGGTACTTAGAACAGAAATCTTTTTTTTTTTTTTAAGAGACTGAGTCTCACTTTGTTGCCCTCGGTAGAGTGCTGTGGCATCACAGCTCACAGCAACTTCTAACTCCTGGGCATGGGTGATTCTCTTGCCTCAGCCTCCCAAGTAGCTGGGACTACAGGCATCCGCCACAACGTCCAGGTATTTTTTTGTTGCAGTTTGGCCGGGGCTGGGTTTCAACCTACCACCCTCAGTATATGGGGCCGGCGCCCTACTCACTGAGCCACAGGCGCCGCCCCAGAAAGCTCTATGTTAAGACTTTTTATTACTGTGCACAGAAACAAAGGCACTTTAAAACATTACCTTGTGTGGGTATCTGTAAATGAACTAATAATTGCCTTAAACTCTATTCCTTTACCTTTGTGTCTCAAGTTACTAATAATAAAGATTTCTTTTTTTTTTTGAGATGGAGTCTCATTTTTGTCACTTTCAGTAGAGTGTATCATAGCTCTTGCCTCAGCCTCCCGAGTAGCTGGGACTACAGGTGCCCACCACAGCACCCAGTTATTTTTAGAGACACGGGTCTCGCTCTTGCTCAGGCTGGTCTGGAACTCCTGAGCTTAAGCAGTCCACCTGCTTCAGCCTCCTGGAGTGTTTAGGATTATAGGCATGAGCTACTATGCCTGGCTAAATGTAGATTTTAATACTTTATTCTTTTCTTCTTTTTTTTTAAATTAAATCATAGCTGTGTATGTTAATGCAATCATGGGGTACAGTGTACTGGTTTTATATACAATTTGAAATGTTTTCACAAACTGGTTAATATAGCCTTCATGGCATTTTCTTAGTTGTTGTGTTAAGACATTTATATTCTATACCTAGTAAATAATACATTATTCTTAATACTAGCCTTTGACTAGGTAATAAAAGATAATTGCAGGCATTTATTTGGTGCGTTACTATATGCTAGATAGGAAGACAAGTGTATTATCTTTAAAGCCTTATAACAAATGATGTTAGAAAACAGTTAAAGTTTTATTTTAATTAATTATTTTTAGAGACAGGTGTTGCTCAGTTGCCCAGGCTGGAATGCAGTGGCACAATCATAGCTCAATGCAGCCTGGACTTTGAGGCTCAAGCGAGCCTCCTGAGTACCTGGGACTATAGGTCCAAACTCCCATACTTTTTAATTTTTCATGTTGGGTCTCACTATGTTGCCCAGGCTGGCTCCCATACTTTTTAAATTTTTCATGTTGGGTCTCACTATGTTGCTCAGGCTGGTCTTGAACTCCTGGCTTCAAGCGATTCTCCCACCTCAGCTTCCCAAAGTGCTGCGATTATAGGTGTGAGCCACTGTTGCTGGCCTAGAAAACAACTTTTGACATAAGTGAAAA